TTTTGTGATGAAAAATATTTAGTTTCCTCTCCTCTTGTTAGTTCAAAATCGAACAGTGGTATCAGAGCAGAAATACTCTTTGGAAAGGGACCATGATGCTGGAAAAAGAAGAAGAAGAAGAAGCTGCCTGCTGAAAAACAGAGGAAAAACAGGGAAAAAAACCGGTGCAAAATGAAGATGAGAAGGGGTTGAATCTGGGGTGTTTTTGCAAGGATTCTTACATGAAAAACTAATCATTGATGATTAGAGTTGAAAAACTGATCATTGGCCATAAAAAAATTGAAAAAAATAGCTGAAAAAATGGTTGAAAAAAGCTAGAAAAAGGGCTGTAAAAATCCTGATGAAAATAGAGGAAAAATCGGTGCAAAATGATGCTGAAAATGGGTTGAATCTGGTGTGTTTTTGCTAGGATTTAGAGCTGAAAAACTAATTCTTGAAGATTAGAGGTGACAAACCTATCCTTAGTTATGAAAAATTGGAAGAAAAAAGTTGAAAAAATGATTGAAAAACGCTGGAGAAAGGAGAGAAAAACAGAGTTTTCTGTCATATCCGGTGAGGTCACTGCATATACGGTTAGCGTAGTGCAAATACGATAAGTTGAGTGTAAATTCGGTAATTTCAGTTTTTTCTTTCAAAATCGGTATGCCCTGCGAAAAATCGGTAAGATCCTTACAAATACAGTATGAGCAATGCAAAAACGGTAAGGGGCTTGCATATACGGTAAGTCCTTACAAATCCGGTAAACACAATTTATACAAATCCGGTGAGAGTGAATAAACTGGTAAGTATTTGCAAATACAGTATGAAGTATCAAACCCGGTAAGCTTAATTTTGTGCAAATCCGGTAGTCAGTGCCATTTCGATAAGCTCAAATCCAGTAAGCAAAGTGTAAATCCGGTGAGCATAAAACCAAGTAAATTCGGTAAGGTTGATTAAATTCGGTTAGTTTATTCATTTTTGGAAAACTTTAAATCCGCTAAGCAAGAAAAAAAATCGGTAAGTTGTGTGTAATACCAGTATGATCAATGTAAATCCGGTATTTTCAGAAAACAGAATAGCAGCTTCTTCTCAACAAAAAAATCAAAATCTGATGAAGAAAATGGACAATTTCAAAAATTTGATGATGCAAGTAAAGAATTTCTTTGTATATGGAATTGCAACCATGTGTGGTTGGATCAAATGGAAAACAAGAACTTCAAGCTTGCAATCACAAAAAAAAAAAAAATGAAGAAAATGATTTGAAGGTTCCAACAATGTATAAATAAAGGAATGAAAATACTAATAAAAATGAATAAACGGCTTTCGACAAATAAATGGGTCGAACTTGAGAAATGAATAAATAAAGGAATGAAAACACTAATAAAAATGA